GGCAAAACAGAGCTTTCGGTGGCCTGGTTTACGCTGGTCACTTGCCAGGATCCGCTCAGCTGGTCCCAGCCTGTCCCCCGGGAGCTCGAGGAGGCTCCGGGGTGTCCGCATGGGATGTCCCTGCCACCCCCTGCCCATCCGCACACGGCTATGGGAGAGAGGGACACGTGTTCCTACAGGAGGATGGCAAATCCCTGGGATGCTCTTTGGAAGTGGAGCATGGAAGCAACCCATGAGGTGCGGATGCTGGAGAAGTCTGGAGTTTTTGGAGAAGTCTGGATTTTTTAGAAAAATATATCTGCAGCAAATGCAACGAAGGAGGAAGGCAGGTGTAGGACACCCAACCTGCCAGGGCTATATGAGACGTCAAGTGTGTCCATAGAGAGCAAAACAAAAGCAAAGCCCAACAGTTTCCTCTAAATGAACAAAAAAAATGGAAAAAAAAATTAATTTTGCATCTGTTAGAAGTCTCGACTAAACCAAAGGTGAAATTCTAGCCTAGGAAAAGCGAGGGGCAACAGTTTTGGYGACCTTAAGGCAGAGGCTTCACTTAACGCAGTGCCCATGGTGAGGAGGCACAACACCGCTGTGCATATTGTGACACGAAAAYGCGGGTTTCGCATGCAGCTTCAGACAACATGCTCATAAATGCAGGATAATGAATGGACGGACAGACGGGCAGATTTGGTTATCGCTTAATCTGGCTTATTATCTGCAGCTGTTACAGTTAAACTGGTCTAAAAAGTTACCGTGCAGCTTTAATTCTGAGCAGTTCCTGGAAGGACAGTTAGAAACTGTGAAAACAAGTGTGCTTCTTTAAATGCCTCATTAAAAAGGAAAAAAAAAAAAAAAAGCATATCTGCAGCACAAAGATGACATCAGAAAAAGTTCCACGATTCACAGCTGGCTGCACATTTCAAAAAAAATTAAATAGGGACCCTAGATTGATTTAATCACCCATACAGGCGAAAAAACGTAATGAAGATACTTAGTGCCAAATTGGTTTCTTGAGACCTTTTCCATGTAAATAATACAAATCAAACCTTGAAGTTCAGCGCAGATAGGATCTGACAAGCAAGCCAGGCTTTCTGTTTTGCTTTGATCCAGCTCCAGAAATATTTTATCCAAGGTAAAGTTGTTTTTAAGTGTTTTCCATTTCAGTTTTTAATTTTGGATATTCATCGTATAGGAAAACTTGCCTCTGATGCTTAAAACATTAGTCTGGCTAAAGTGACTCATAGCCCTAAACATAAAGATTCCCTTATATTTGCTGCTAAAATGTAAAGCACAAAGCACTCCCCGTGTGAGGGGGGATCAGCTTTAACTCCCTGTTATTTTTAATGGTACACTGAGCCAGGACACCCAAAGTTGAACATTTCCAAACGCCAAGTCAACCTGACTGGAATATTTTCAGTGCTGCTGCATTTCCCCTAGGTGTGTTTGTGAATAATAGGCTGGAAAACAGTGGGGATGGGAAGGCTTTTGTTTTCTAAGTGGTTTCCCAAATTCCCCACATGCAACAGTGCCTTCTCCTGGAAGGGAAACACTCCGTGGTGGCTTTAATCTGATTTAGTGGCTTTCCTGAACATGAGAGTTACTTTTATTTTCATTTTTGTTTGAAAAAAATAAAAAAGTCTCTTGGGTTTTTTTTTTTTTCACTCCATCCTAGCAACAGAATGAATATTTTGCAGTCCAGAAAGAAACTCCTGGAAAGCAACAACCCTGTTCACAAAATTAAGTGTCGAGTGCCTAAATACATATTTGGGCACCTTGCTGTAGGCATTCATGTTTTTAAAATTCCGCTCCTGTGAATAATGTAAAATCCCTGGATTCTCTTACTTCCACAAATCTGTATGTAGTATATTTAGAATTAACGGGGCCCCTTTTTCTCTTTTCACTTGGATGTGTCGTGTAAGGCTAATGAAAATAAGATGGATCTTTTATTTTGGGTCTTAAATATAACATTATTAAATGTGCCCACCAGAAATGTAGGATAAAATATTTGCTCTGCTTGAAGATTATGTGATATTTGTATTCTAAGCCTCACCACAGTGGGTTTCTTTAAATAGAAGCTATACTTTACTCCTAAATTGCTTAAGGCAAAGGAAGCAGAGATGATGTTTTTATGAATGTTTAAATGCAAATGGCACTGAGAGTGAATGCTATGCTAGCTAACATCAAAGGCTCACCAAAGTCTCTGCATTAATGAGGCTCTTTGTTTCCTGGATCACAGATTACAACAGGTTTCCAACTCATTGCCAAGGCTTTATCTCCATTTGGGAGGGCTGTAAATCTCAGACGATTTTTTTCACATGCAAAACAAGAGGATCATCTGAAAGAAAGGGAAAGAAAATCTTCAAGTAGCAAATATTTCATTCAAATGATTATTACTCAAAGTGGCTGCAGCTTGTTTTATTTTTGTGATGTTTAAAAGAATGGAAATGTGCAGACGGAGTTTCCTATGGGGGAGCCGGCTCTTGCTCTTGGCTGCGGGAGCTGAGCAGGAAAACGGCAAGCAGCCCCTCTCCGCCTCCCACCTCCGTGGGCACCGCGAGACCGGTGCCCCCTGAAGAAGAACAATAATTCTGTGTCATGCAAAACCAGCAATTAGCAGAAAGACCGATTTTGCCTCATTTAAATACACTCAGTACTTTTCAAAGTGGCTCCAACTAGTTCTTCTCCTCCCCAAAAAGTAATGAGATTATATCCATAGTAATAATACCCTAATTAACAAGAAAAATAGGGACCGAGATTTTTAGCTTCCTATTCAAGTGTTGAATGTGACAATATGTAGTATATTGGGTCATAAAAAACAATTTACATGGCGTCATTACAGTCTGTAGAAAAGTCTCCAGGACCCAGGGCTATCTTATGCAATCTTAATTAAGGAAAATAAATATCGGTGTGTTTTTTTAAGCTACCGGAGACATGCACAGGACCTGTCGTATGTGATCAGAAGAGATGGGGAGTTTCCTTTTCCATGGGAACTGCTTGCAGAAAAAAGCCCGACGCCGACACAGAAGTGTCTAGTGCCTCCGAAACGGCCTGCGAAGATGTTAATTTTTTGTTTCCTGACCCTGGGGGCCAGTCAGGAAAACTAATAATTTTCTGTGATCTGACATCACGTCTCTCCTTCCAAAGGGGCCGGGGATCAGGCAGTGAGTTGCAGGGATGAGCCGAGCCGGGATGAGCTGAGCTGGGATGAACCAAGCTGGGATCAGCTGAACTGGGAAGGGCTCAACTGGGTCGGGCCAGGCTGAGCTGGGTCGATCTGGGCCAAGCAGAACCAAGGTCAGGCCAAGTTGGGTGAAGCAGAGTGAAGCAAGCCAGGCTGGGTTGGGCTGGACTGGGTCAAGCTGGGCTGGGCTGAACAGAACCAGGTCAGGCTGAGCTGGGCTGGGCTAAGCCAAGCTGGACCAGGCCAAGCTGGGCCAGGCAGAACCGAGCCCAGCCAAGCCAGGCCTATCCAAGCCAAAGTGAATTGAACTAGGCCAGCTGCAAAGCTGCACACGTGTGTGCTCGGGGTGCACATGTGTGTGCACACATGGGGACATGGGCCTGCATGCTGCTACATGTATGTAGACGGGCGTGCAAAGTGTGTGCACAAGCTATGTAGGTCTGTATGTGCTGATGTGCGTGTTGACGTGTGCTGGAGTGTTTGTGTCGCATGTGCAGATGTCCGTGTGTGCTGTTGCACGCACACGTATGTAGATGTAGGGATGTCTGTGTGCAGCGATGTGCAGGTATGGATGGGTACAGACCGTGTGGGTGTTGGTGCCTGCATGCACACATGTACATATGCACACATGTGCACACGCCTGCATGCAGAGGTGTGTGTGCAGAGCCATATGTGAACAGATGCCTGCATGCACATGTGAATGCAAATGTGTCTGCATGCAAACATATTTACAGATGTGCATGTAGGATACTCCATGCAGAGTGCTGCACACTTGCCCACACACATGCATGCACACAGATGCCAGCGTGTTTGCAGCCATGTGCATGCACACACGTGTCTGCAAACACGCTGGCATCTGTGCCACACGTGTGCCTGCCGTGCACAACGTGTGTGCACGATGTGTGTGCATGACGTGTGTGCACAGCTGCACGCGAGCAGAGGCACGGGTTCCACGCAGACAACACRCACACACACACCACCTGAGACCCCCCAAAAAACCGCGGGGCTCCCCAAGCCCCCTCCCTGGAGGTGGGGGGGGTGCAGCGCGGTACATCGGGGCGCGGGCACCTCTCTATACCGCGCCGCGGGGCGATG